GGAGGAATCGGTGCCAGGCTTCCAGATAAGACGTTGCACCCCCTTTCTCCAGGGGAGCCCTCACTGCAGGCGGGGGGGCAGGGGAGCAATTCTCCCCGGGATGCCCAAGTGTGGGGAGAGAAGCTGCGCGGCTCTAGGCCACACGGTCCCAGCTGCCCCCTCCTTCCTAGCACTTTGCGCTCCCCGCAGGAGCCCGCCCTGTGCTCAGGGACCCCCGTGCCACAGCCCCCCGGCCCCCTGAGCTGCTGGGGGAGGGCACGCTCTGGGGCAGGCAGCGAGGCCCCCACCGCTGGGCCGTCGTGCACAGGGGCGCTCATCTCGGCCTGCTGCCCCCAGCGTCTCCTGCTGACGAAGGGCCCGCCAATGGCGCAGGGCGGGCAGCGCGGCATCGGCCCCCAGCCCAGAGGGAGGGGAGGGAGCCGCTTCCCACAGAGCTCGCAGCGGACCCTCGTGCCCCTTCCCCTCGCTGGAGTCAGCCACCCGCTCGCTCACCTGTCCCGGCAAATTCCTTGCATTCCGGAGTGGGAGAGGTGGCCTCTTGGCCGGACCGGCCCAGCCAGTTCCACCAGGAAATCTTGCTCTCAGCCTGTGGCATCATCCGGGCGGGCGGCGGGCCGAGAGCAGGAAGACGTCGTCGCAGGCCCGGCTGGCTCCCGCCAGAGTCACGTGGCGCAGGCTCAGGAAGGTGCTGGGGGTGGGGGGTGCCCGGCGGCACCGGGCACGAGGCAAGGCCTGGGCTGAAGCGGGGCGGGGCGGGCGCGTCGCCTCGAGCGCCTGGGTGGCGGTTGCAGGAACACTCGCGCCTCCTCTTTGCGTTTCCCAAGCACCAAACCGCGTCGTCAGGCTTTTCCCAGGTTAGGCCCCCAGCAAGGCAGGGAGAGAGAATCGTCGGCGCAAGATGCAGCAGGGCCTTGGAAGGATGCGCCGCAGACCACCGGAACGATGGCGGTTGGCACGTGCCCCCATGAGGGCCGAGCGCTTGGCACGCTTTGATTTCGAGAACAGGACTGGCCAGGAATGTAGCAAAAGGTTTCTAACATGGCGTGGAGAATGTGCCTGGAGAGGCCCTTTGGTTTGTCTTCCGTGAGACTCGCTCCCAATCCACGTGGCTCAGCAGCCCACCGTCATGGGTTGCTTGAGAGAGTGTGGAAGGAGGTGAGCGCCCTGCTTTCGACCTCTTGGCTGCTTCCCGGGCATCGAACGGCCCAAGGATGGCGAAAGTGCAAAGCACGGGTCCTGATCCAGGGCAGCTTCTGTCTCCACAAGTCAGCGTTTGGTTTTGGGCATCAGGGAGAGCAACCGAGGGGCAGGGCGCGTGTACCGCGTGTTGCGCTCCCACATGGCCGCCTGGCGAGGAGCAAAGCTTGTTCCGTCACGCTCCCGAGGACTGGTGCTTAACAAATGTTGGGCTGCCCCGTTGTGTGAACCAAGTCAGAGACTTGGGGTCACCCAGTGAGACGGATTGCTAATAGCTTCAAGACGGAAGAAAGTAGATGAAACATGTAATAACACGATGCAGTTTAAGCAGCCCACTGGCCGAGTTGGCTTTGAAAGGAGATTAGAAGACTTCATAGGAAATCAGTCTGCTAATCGTGACAGTGAATTGGAATTGGAACAAGCTCATCTCATGCTTGCTCAAAGGAAGTGAGGTTTCCTGGAGGAGGCTGAGTGGCCGCTCGTGGGGAAAAGTGGGCAGAGATCTGTTACGACTGAGAGGGCCTCTCGCTTCCTTGCGGCCAGTGGGAAGGCATCTTTTCGTGGGCTCCCCAGTCCATGCCCGGCATTGTATACACTACGCTCAGAGGGAGTGGGCCAAAGGTTTCATCCACACTTTTCTCTTTAGCTTGCTCATGCAATTTGTCGCTCCCATTCAAGCGCATAGAAAGAAATGGCTTTCAAAAAGAAACCCAGGTGCTCAAAGGGAGTCTTTAGGTTTGCTTCAGGGTTCTTTGCAGCTACCTTACTCAGGAGGGGGTGGAAGAGGGAATGTGCACATCTGGCCTTCTTGCGCTCCGGCCACAGCCGGGAATGATCCTTCCCTGGGAGATTTCTGGATCGGGGAGCCGGCAGGGAGGCTGCCAAGCCGGGAGGGTGCATCCGAGGAACCGGGGAAGCGCACTGGCTTGCTTGGCTCAGACTGTGGAGCAAGTTCTGGGAGAGTCCCGAGGGCCGGACAGCGGGACAGGCGCCTGGCCGAGCAGAGCCTCCGGTCTGGTCGGGGGCTCAGGCACAGGCAGGACGCGAGAACAGGTCTGAGCCAGGCTGAGGAGCTGGAGACGGTCCAGGAGCAGAAAGTCCGAGTGGCTGGGGCAGGAGGGGCACTCGCAAGCGCGGCCGGGGGGCAGGCCCCGGGGAGCCCAGCCTGGCCAGCCTGCGGCTGCTGCTTCCCCTGCCGGCGCCCTGCCCGGGCCCTCGTCCCTCTGCTGAGGGGCGGCCCGGAGGAGCCGTGTCCTCTCGCTGAGTCCGTCTGTGCACCGCGCAGCCCTCTGTGGCGCCCACTGGCAGCTCCCTCAGCTCAGACGCAGCTCTGCACGTCCCGAAGCGGAAGGGCGCTTGAGGTCATCCGGACTGACCCCAGGCCCTGGATGGCCCAGGCCCCGGCCTGCAGGCACCTTTCCTTTCAGCCCACTGAGGCTCCAGCGCGCACGGATCCTGAAGTGAGGCACCGTGCGCTCGGCCGCTCAGCCCTTTCGGTCGGCGCTGGCAGCGTAGCTGGGGCAGGGCCTGCCGTCGCCTGGCTGCCAGCCCCTCGCGCGCAGGCGGCCGGGTGGCGGGAACGGCCCTGCCCTCCGGATGGGGTGGGAGCAGCGTCGCCACAACTCCCGCTGTGCCAGCACCCAGCTCTGTCGCTGGCAAGCTGTGGTTTTTCAAAATAACTTTTAATGCGTGCAGAATGGAATTTCCTCCTCACTGAGCTACCAAAACACTTAGTGGAGCGGGGGTTCAGATCAGAAAGTGCGGTTTCTCTGAGAGAGTCTGTGCTTTCTGGCCTTTGCTTTGCTTTGCTCCGCTTCACCTCACCTCACTTCACTTTGCTTTCAAAGAGCAGGCATGTGTTTAAGAGCAGAAAACCAGTGTTGATATATCATTTGTCACACCTTGTCATGGAGAACCTTTTCCCAGCGTTCCTCACCTCTGTGGGTTACACTGTGGTAGATTACAATCGGAGCTTAGAAAGAGAAATATTTACTACATGTACAATGTAAGTCTCATATAATCCAACTTAAATGACATTGCTGTGGAAGTCCACATAAAGAACAGATTTGCATCACGCAGCTTCATTGGCCACGAGCCAGAAGGACTGTGGACGGAAGTCAGAGACATTAGGAAAGAATGCCAAGAGGTACTTCCTGCTGCCCAAAAGAAAGGAAAGATGGACGACGGAAGAAACGCAGTTGCAGAGGACAAGCAAGAAGCAAAAGGGCACAGAAACGGGGTCAGCATCCTGGATGTGGCTTTTCGGCAACTATCGCGTAGAGAGAAAAAGAACTGTTACAAGTAGCAGTGAACAGCACAGTAGGAAAAACGAGAGAGCGCTTCCAGAAGATCCAGGAAATCCAAGGGAAATTCAAACCTAGACGATTGGGAATGCCAGAAGACAAACAGTGGGACACGCTGTCTGAGCAGGAGAAAATAAAGAGGAGGTGGAAGGAATATGCAGAGGAAATGGAAGGATGACAGAGGAATTCCTGTGGAGGGACCAGGTGCCTGCAGCAAGCCAGGAACCAGCTGCAGAACATGAATCGGTCCGGATCCTAACACGAGCGTGCTAACAAAGCTGGAAAACAAAACCTGGAAATGTCCGGTGTACAAGGAAGGAGGTGCCGAAGGCGGCTGCAGCCACGGAAGCATTGCATCCACTCCCAGGGGCTGCCACAAAGAAAGCTGGTTCTGTGGAGCAAGAAGGGCCAGGTGTCCAGGCTGGATTCCCAAGAGGAAGGGGCACCCAAGAGCGTGTTGCAACTATCCAGTGGCCACTGGAGCACAGCAAAGAACTTCAGGAGAAGACCGGTCCGTGGAGCACAGCTCAGCCTTGGACTGTGCACCGCAAGAAGCTGTGGGTGGCCCGCAAAGAAGGGCTGTGTCGGAAAGCAGAGGAACGGAACGATCCTCCATAGGCAAGGGGGTCAGGCGAGGCTGCGGTCGATCGCCCTCTCCGTTCAACCTGCATGGAGGGCACATTGTAGGGGAGGCTGGGTTGGAATCAGAGGAAGGAGTGGAGATCGGTGGAAAAAGCATCCATAAGTTAAGATAAGCAGGTGATATCATATTACGGCAGAGAGAGCCGCAGAGTGAAGCTGCTGCTAATGAAAGTGGAGGAAGAAAGGTCAAAAGCAGGACTGCTGCCACATATGAAGAAAACAAAACTCAGGACCACAGAAGAATCACAGAACTGGGTTGTTAGTGAGGGGGAAATTGAAATTGTGAGGGATTTTGCACACCTGGGCTCGTGATCAGTTGCGGGGGAAGCTGCAGGCAGGAGATCAGGAGAGGATGGAGGTTGCAGAAGGGCAATGATAAAGGAATCGGGAAAGATCACCACACGGAGAGAGCCGTGCATTGTGTGCCCGACCGCAGCGGATGGGTGTGAGCACTGGAAAGAGGCGGACAAGAAGACAGACACATTTGAAACCTGGTGCTGGAGGAGAGCTTTGCGACTCCCCCAGACCGACAGAAGGATGACATGGAGGTCCTGGATCAAGGTGGCGCCTGCCCTAGAAGCCCAGATGTCAAAACTGAGGCTGTTGCGCTTTGGGCAGGTCGGGAGAAGTCAGCATGCCCTGGGGGAGAGTCAGAGGCGGAAGAAGAGGCCCCTGCATGAGATGGATGGATGGACTCCGCAAAGGGAGCCCCAGGCCGGGATTCAGAAGAGGGAGCGGGGCTGCCCCGGGCAGGCGGGACGGACACCGGAGGGCCTTCCCACGCAGGGTCGCCAGAAGCCGGGGGCAGCTTGGCAGCACGGAGCAGCCGCCCCTCACGCGGTGTCTCGAGTGCCAGCAGGCGTTTCACTGAGCAGCCGGTGACGGGCCGGCGCTTCGATGCCACGGAGAGCCCGGCCTCTCCATACGGTTTGCGTGGGCTTAAGTGACACGTCGCAATGCAATGAACTTCTGTAACCCAGGAAATCCATTGAGCATCTTCCATATGCCGTACACATTTATCTCTTTCCTCAGCTGTTTGGCTCTTTTTGTCGTCAGAGGAAGTAGGTGGCTGACTGCAGTTTTTTGTTACAGGTTTGCAAAACTGAGCGAAGTCGGGTGGGGGGACTAAGGGAGGTGTGTTCCCTGTAGCTTTCCCTCCGAGGTCCCCTCCAAATGCCTCTGTCCATGCAGAGGGGTTGCTGTCAGCTGCCCACGTGACGTGAGGGCTGGAGTTGCGTGAGCTGCGCTCGGTGCCGTGACAAGCCGGGGGCGAGCTGCAAGGCGGGGCCGAAGCCTGTGTCTCAGGCGGGGCAGCGCTCACCCCTTGCAGGGCAGGTGAGGCTGACGCCCACCCCTCGCATCCTGGGACACTTCCGATGCGTCGCCCCAGACCCGTGGACAGTCACGTTTTGACCCCCAGGATCTGGAAGGATCTGGCAAAAGCTCTGGCTGCTCCTTGCAGGGTCTCTGTCAGGCGGGGCGCTCTGGAGTTCTCCGTGCGAAACCCACAACAAAAGCGCAGTTGCAGCGGGAGGGGAGTGTTCAGGGAGTGAAGTGGCCACCCTTCATTTCTGGAACCCAAAGGATCGTGTTTCAACAGGAGGCATGTTGGATTCACCCGCAGAACCGCCGAGTAGCGGGGTTGGGAGGGGCCACGGCGGCCACGAGGTCCCACCCGCTGCTGTTGCTGCAGGACTCCCGTTCACGCCTCTCCCTCGGAGGGCTGCCCAGCGGCCTCTTGCGGGCCTCCAGCGTGGGCCTTTGGCTCCACTGCTGTGCTGCTCTGGCCACCAGGAAGTCTCCCGGCGGCCCGGCTGGAGTCTGGCCGCCTGTATCTTCAGCCCGTTCTTTGGCGTTCTGCACTCGGGGATGGTCAGAAAGACGGCCCTCCTCCGTGCGGCAGCCTCCCAAGTGCTTGAAAAGTGCCGCCTGGCCTCCCCTCAGGCCTCCCTTCCCAAGGCTGAGCAGGCCCGTCTCTCCCAGCCGCCTCCATTTTCTGGGACCGCCCCGTCCGCCCCTTTTCGCGGAAAAGCACGGCCTCCGTCTCGCTGCCCCCGCCGCCCTTCGGTGTGCGTGCCGCCTTGGGCGTGGCCTGCGGGAAGCCCCGCTTGCTTCCCGAGGGCAGAGCCGGTCGGTCGGCTCGGTTTCCTGAGCGTGCCCTGCGGCTGCCGACTCCAAGCCCTCAAGTGGGCAGGGCAGCCCCACGGGCCCAGGAACAGGTGCTTTCGTGAAGAGCGGGAAGGCTGGGGGAGGGAGCCCCCCGCCTCCCCTGCGAGCCCCCACGAGTCAGCTCCAGCCCACTGCGTCTGCCCTTTTAACGTTTGTTTGATTTCAGCCGCCGTGCTCAGACAGCCTCGATGACTGGGTGGTATAAAAATGAAATAAACCAAGCCATTAATTAATTTGGCTCCTTCCCATGCCTGCCCGGCCAAATCCACGGAACAGGCAGTGCTTCCCCATCACTTCATGGGAGCTGTGGCAACTGACAGGCCTAAAATGCTCCCTTTGCAGAACGTAGAAAACCTTGTACGCTTCTGGGGTCCGGGACCTGCTATGCTTTATGCCTGCTATGCTACCCCTTTCCCAAGGAGACAACCCGTTTTCCAAACTGCGCTGCACAAATGAAGAAACGCCACGGCAAAAGCAAGCCCCACGTACGGCTGTGCGAGAGAACAGGCGTTCCCGGCCTGGTGGACATGCCTCAGGCCCGAAGCGTCCTTCTCCCTTTCGCAGCACCAGCTGCAGAATCCGGGTCCCCTGTGCCCCACCCCCGGCCTATGGCACTCATGGGGCTGCATCCCAGCTGGTTTCCCCCGTAACACGGGGTCGCCACAGTGGCCCAGCCATCCTAGTTACAGAATCATAGGATCACAGAATAGCAGAACCAGAAGGGGCCAGAAGGCCATCCAGGCCACCCCCTGCTGCTGCGGGACACCAAGCCACACCGTCCCGCTCAGGTGGCTGCCCAGCTTCACCCTGAATGTCCCCAGTGGGGGAGAGCCCCCCACCCCTCCAGGCAGCTGCTTCCTCTGTCCTACTGCTCTGACAGCGAGGACGCTCTTCCTGACGTCCAGCCTGAGTCTGGGTTGTCCCAGCTTGACTTGATTATTCCGTGCCCTTCGGTTGTTCACAGCTCTAAAGTGTTCTGTCACCTTCACATCCTCGAGTGTGTGTCTGACCCAGCAAATGTACCCACCGGTTGTTCGCCCTTTCTCCCCTTGCAGGTGAAGGCCAACGACTCCGACCAGGGCGCCAACGCCGAGATCGACTACTCCTTCCACCAGGCCTCGGACGTGGTGCGGAGGCTGCTGCGCCTGGACAGGGCCAGCGGGCTCATCACCGTGCAGGGCCCTGTCGACCGGGAAGACGTCAGCGTCCTGAAGTTCTCCGTGCTGGCCAAGGACAAGGGGGCCAACCCCAAAACCACCCGTGCCCAGGTGGTGATCAGCGTCCGGGACATGAATGACAATGCCCCCTCCATCGAGATCCGTGGCATCGGCCTGGTCACCCACCAGGACGGCATGGCCAATATCTCGGAAGATGTGCCCGTGGAGACCCCGGTGGCGCTGGTCCAGGTGTCGGATCGGGATGAGGGGGAGAACGCCGTGGTGACCTGCGTGGTGGCTGGCGACGTGCCCTTTCAGCTGCGGCAGGCCAGCGACACGGGCAGCGACAGCAAAAAGAAGTACTTCCTGCAGACCACGACGCCTCTGGACTACGAGGCGGTGAAGGAATACACCATCGAAATCGTGGCCGTGGACTCGGGCAACCCGCCCCTGTCCAGCACCAACTCCCTGAAGGTCCAGGTGGTGGACGTGAACGACAACGACCCGGTCTTCAGCCAGAGCGTGACAGAGGTAGCCTTTCCCGAAAACAACTCCCCCGACGACGTGGTGGTGGAGGTGAGCGCGACCGACGCGGACAGCGGGTCCAACGCGAAGCTCGTGTATTCCTTGGTGGCTGACCCTGCCTCCAAGGGCGTCTTCTCCATCGACCCGGACACCGGCGAGATCCAGGTGAAGACGGTGCTGGACCGGGAGCAGCGGGAGCAGTACGACTTCCTGGTGGTCGCGGCCGACAAGGGCAGCCCCAGCCGGAAGGGGACGGCCTCTGTCACCGTCAGCGTCATGGACCGCAACGACAACGACCCCAAGTTCATGCTGAGCGGCTACAACTTCTCCGTCATGGAGAACATGCCGCCCCTGAGCCCGGTGGGCATGGTGACCGTCATCGACGCGGACAAGGGGGAGAACGCCCGCATCCACCTCTCGGTGGAGCAGGACAACGGCGACTTCGTCATCCAGAACGGCACGGGCACCATCCTCTCCAGCATCTCCTTCGACCGCGAGCGGCAGAGCACCTACACCTTCCGGCTCAAGGCGGTGGACGGAGGCAAGCCGCCCCGGTCGGCCTACGTGGGTGTGACCATCAACGTGCTGGATGAGAACGACAACGCTCCCGTCGTCATCTCCCCGTCCAACGGCTCCTACAAGCACATCCTGCCCCACACCAGCCCCGGGCAGCAGGTCATGAGCGTCGGCGCCGAGGACATCGACTCCGGGATCAACGCCGAGCTGCAGTACAGCATCACCGGCGGGAACCCCTTCGAGCTCTTCAAGATCTCGCCCCAGAGCGGGAACATCACCCTGGAGAAGGAGATCCTGCGCAAGCACCACGGGCTGCACCGCCTGGTGGTGCGCGTCAGCGACCGCGGCAAGCCCTCCCGCCACGGCACGGCCCTGGTGCACTTCTACGTCAACGAGACGCTGGCCAACCGCACGCTGCTGGAGACGCTGGTGGGGCACAGCCTGGACACGCCCCTGGACATCGACATCGCCGGCGACCCCGAGTACGAGCGCAGCAAGCAGCGCAGCAACATCGTCTTCGGCGTCATCGCCGGCGCCGTGGCCGTCGTCCTGGTCATCGTGCTGGTGGTGCTGGTGCGCTACTGCCGGCAGAGGGAGGCCAAGAGCGGCTACCAGGCGGGCAAGAAGGAGACCAAGGACCTGTACGCGCCCAAGCAGGGCGGCAAGGGCGGCAAGGCCAAGTGCCGGGTGCGGAAGAGCAAGCCGCCCAAGCCGGCCGAGCCGGCCGAGGACGAGGAGGAGACGGGGCTGCAGAAGTCCCTCAAGTTCAACCTGATGAACGACTCGGTCAGCGACAGCCCCCGCATCCACCTGCCCCTCAACTACCCGCCGGGCAGCCCCGACCTGGGCCGCCACTACCGCTCCAACTCCCCGCTGCCCTCCATCCAGCTGCAGCCCCAGTCGCCGTCGGCCTCCAAGAAGCACCAGGTGGTGCAGGACCTGCCGGCCGCCAACACCTTCGTGGGCACGGGCGACAGCAACTCCACGGGCTCGGAACAGTACTCCGACTACAGCTACCGCACCAACCCTCAGAAATACCCCAATAAACAGGTAGGCGAGCTCGTGCTGCACCCCCCCGCCCCCCCCTCCCGCCGCGCCCGGGCCATCTGGACAGAGGTGTGGGCGTGAGGCGGACTGCGCCCTTCCGCATGAGCCGGCCTGGCCCCGGTGCGGGCCCGGCCCAAGGACTGCCCGGGAGAGAGGCGCCCGCCAGCCCAGCGCATGGGGGACAACCGCGTGGGGCCTGGGCGAGGCGGCCTGGCCGCGAGGCCCCGAGCACGGCGGGCACGGACCGCAGGGCTGGAGGCAGGAGGGGCTCGTGGCCGGCCGGAGCGCTTCGCGGCAGGGCGCCGGGTCCCGGCACAGAGGGCTTGTGGCGGGGAGGAGGGCCCGCGGGGCACGTGCGCCAGGCTCCGGCCACGCTTCCGCCTGAGCCTACTGCGGGCCAGGGGGTGCACGGGGGCGGCCGCGCCCGGCCTCCTCCGTGGCGGGACGTGGGGCGCGGCTGGGAGCGCTCTGCATGCGGAGGCGGCATCCAACTCTGCGGCTGGGGCAGCGTGGGGGCGGCCGCTCTCTCGAGTGTGTTTCTGGGATGAAACGGGCCGCGCATGCCTGCGGCGGGACACCTCCGTGGCGCGTGCGAGGGGTCGGCGCAGGCACGCGGAGCGCAGGCGCTGCTGCCGTGGTGGAGGGGTGCCGTGCGTGCTGCTGCTGCTGCTGAGCTGCCTGCTGGGGCAGGTGCCGCCTCGGGGGCCGCAGGGTGGGGGCAGGAGCCTGCATGTGCGCCGCGGGTGGTGTGCAGGGCTGCTGGTGGTCGGTGGGGCTGCTTGCCCCCCCCTGCGCGACTTGCACGGAGCTCTGCGGGCACGAGGCGTTCCAGGGAGGGCGCCGGTCTCCGTTCCCTTCCCATTGTGACTTGTGCGCCCCGAAATGGCTCCCCATCACCATTCAGGTGAACTTGTCTGCCGTTGACTGACTCCAATAAAAACTTCCGTGGCCGGTCAGTGTGTCGTGCTCTGTGAGTGGCGAGCATCCATGCTCCTGTGGGGAACTGAGAAGGGGAAGTGGAACAGAACTTTTTCGCAACGGATTGCCTGCTTGGCTGGGTTTTTTATTTTTATTTTTATTTTGGTCATCCAATTACTGAAAAATAGAGAGAAACATGGCAAGAGGAAAATGATTTATTTGCTAAATCTTTAGCCCATGCAAGAATTAGCAGCACATTGAAACAAGCAGGGTGGTTCCGTTACTGTTTTTAAGCAGAGGAGAAGCAAAGGGCAGCGTCACAAACAAAACGGGACGGAACCGCAGCACATTCGCCCTGTGGCATCATCCCAGTTTAAGTTCTTATTTCCGAAATGAATCGGCAGCTCTCAGCCGCTGACCTGCAGCTGCCTGGCCTTTAAACTGCCCAAATTGGTGGTCTGGGCTTTGCAGGATGAACACAGAGAAAGAGGTGCCGCTGCAGCCGCTTCCTCGTGGGAGACGGGGTGGGTTTGGTGGAAGGACTCGGCCCGCTTGGCACGAAGCTGCCTGCACGCGATCAAGACAGCGGCCTTTGAGTGCAAACGATCTTCCCTGGAACCCACAAACCTGTGTTGGGCCGCAGCATTTGGTGCGGGCAAGCACGGTGCCTTCCCAGCGTGGCCGCCCGCTTCCCCGCCACCGGCCCTGCGAGGCGGCCGCGGTTCCCGGCCCTCCACCTCGCGCCTTTGCCGCACTCTGCAGACAGCTCTCTTGCGGCTCCCTCCCAATCCTCCTCCTCCGCGTGAGAGAAGCTCGCAAAGTCGGAGGCTGGGAATGGTCCAGGCCACCAGGAAGGTGCCGTGCCGACACACGGGGGCGGAGGGGCAGCTTTCCCACCCCCTCTGGGAATCAACCCGGTGCAGGTCCAGGGGGTGGACCTTGCACGGCTCCCCGCTCTTTCCTCCAGCCTGAAAGCCTTGCTGATAACGGTTGCGACCTCTCCAGCCCTTGAGCGCCGCACCTGGCTGGGGAAGGGGCCGACCGTTCTCAGGTGTGTCCCGCAGCAGTGTGTGCGTAGAGGAGGCCACCTGGCGCTGGAGGCGCTCCGCCAGGTGCTGGAGCTCGTGGGCGGCCTTATTTATTTATTTAGAAGGCTTCTATGCTGCCCCATTCGCCAAAGCCTCGGGGCGGCTCACGACAGGAAATAAATCATGGCAATATAATGTGATTGGAGACGCCCTGGCCATCCTACGCCGAGCCTTCCCCGTCCGGTTTCAGACCGGTGCAAGCTCCACGGTCCTGGCTGAGGACGTGCGGCGAGAAGCAGGCGGATCCGCTGACGGCTGTTCTGCTTGCGACGCGCTAGAGCCCCGGAACCTTCTCAGGGGTCCTGCTGCCACCCCAGGTCCCCCCGCATTTATTCAGGGCTTTTGTGTACCGTCTCGCAGCCACATGGCTCTCTAGACGGTTTCCCTAACAAAAACCAGCAATACAGAATATCATAAAGAGCACAATTAAAATCACAGCATCACTGATAACATGACATCATAACAGGAACACCCAAGAATAGTTCCGGACCACAGATTGGAATTGTCTTAAATGTCACAGCTGAGAATATTAAAATTTGCATTACGATATAATTAAAATCAAATTACAACTAAAATCATCCACAGTGAAAGTGCTCCTCGAATGAAGGCATCTTGGTCCGGTGCTGGAATATGTGTAAGGACGGCGCTTGACAAACGTCTCTGGGAAGGCAATTCCACAGGCGGGGCGCCACAGCGGAGAAGGCCCTGCCTTCGAGGCTGTAGTTGCAGCTTTGATGTTTCATGGCCTCGGAGCAAAGCTCACATTGATCCCCGCTGATCTGCCCCTCTGAGTTTAAGCCCAGTCGGAACGGTTCCGAAACGCGGCTCTGCCTCCTCCGGTATTGAGGCCCCTCCCAGCTTTGCTCCACCTGCAGATCTGAGAGGCACTTCCTTTGGAGCGATATTCGGAGCTCATAAAGCGCTGCACGGGAGGGGGCCTCGGGGGCCTCGGCTGCTTCAGAGCAGGCAGGCGTGAGCCTGGGCCGAGCATGGTGGCTCAGCCGGTTCTGGGTGCCGCGAGCAGCAGGGCCCGGCCCGCTCGCTCGCGCCACTTCTGCAGGACGCGTGCTGCTCAAAGCACACCCTGCTCTGTGTGCCGGTTCGCACAGTCGATTCAACTGGCAGGCCCCGCAGGCGAGGGGATGCAGTCGGGGCTCCCGTGCTCCCCCTTGACACACGCGTGACGGCCGCCTCATGCGCGCCTGTGCCCCCAGAGGTGCCCGCACCAGCCCCGCCAGGCCCGCTCGACGGTTCAGCCTGCCCTCAGCACAGCCGCCTGGATTGGCCCCCACACCTTGAAAACCTTTTCGTGCGAGGGCTTGCCCTGAAATGCAGGCTGGAAACATGTGGTTTGCAGAGAGGCAGCGGGAGCCACGAGCCTTATTTGGAGGAAGGAGCTGGCGAAAAGCCATTAATAAATCACACGCTGACAGCATAATTCCATATAATTCCAGAATGGGAAGGGGGCGGGGGGCGGCAGCAACGTACGAAGGAGCCGAAGGGGAGCGCTGCCCCCCGCTCGGCTTCCCGCCGGGCGGCCTTTGCCAGTGCGCACTGTGTGTGGAGAAGTGGGCGACTCCGAGCCAGCCGTAGGCTCTCGGGCCAGCCCACCTCGCAGGGTTGCTGTTAAGACTGAGGGCAGGAGGAGGGAAATGGGGCAGACTGCCTTGAGTTCTTATAAGGAAAAAGGCAGGATAGACTCTGATAAAATGAGTGGGTCACAGGGAGCGGGGGGGAAATGCACGGGGCCGGGGACTCGAACCCGGGACGTGAGCAGTCGGGTTCTGGCAGCCTGCCTCCGGGGAAGCTCTCGGGCAGCGCGCACTCCCAGCCCGATCCCTGCAGGACTGTCACCAAGAGGGTGCAGGCAGCCGGAGGGGAGACCCGCGGACCCGCAGAGCGGCCGCTCGCTCACTCAGGCCTGGCTCATCGCTTTGAGCAGCCTCTCGCCGGAGAAGATGCTCCACGGACCCCACCTGCCTCGCCGTGGCTCCCGCTCATCGCCTGCACGTTTTGGAACCTGACCACGGGCGACATGCGCGCCCCGGGAGCCGGTCCTTTGGGAATGCCCAGTTTGCACGCTTGCAGAAGAGTTGCGGGACGTTCCTGGTGCCACGCCGCCCCGGCCCCTTTGGCCGCTTCGGCTCCACGGCTGACCTGTGGCGGCAGGTGCGCCAGTCCCCGGCAGCACGGCTGGGAGTCACAGTCCCCGCATCCGAGTGCCTTTCCCTGAGGAGAAGGCCTGCTGGCGCTCACTCTTCGGTAGACCCCGGTCAGGAAAACTGGGGAACAGCGACCCAAAATACTCCAGCGGAAAACAGAAGTGACGTCCCGGAGGGTTGAATATATTTGCATCTCATTCTGTTTAGCAGCCCACTGCTTTCCCACAGCCCAAGCCAGACATTCGGCCTGGGGGAGCTTTAAAAACCACCCAACCAGATCTCTGGAAATTGTCCTCAAGAAGAAACCTGCAGCAGCTTCCTGTTGGGCTCTCGAAACGCTGAGCTGCGGCCGGCCTCGGATCGCAGGCCCCGAAGGGTTTACTCCCCGGAAATGTGTGCACGCACATTTAATGCTTGTGTTATCTGCTGCCCAGCATGTTACTTTTGTCCTCCTCTCGGCTAATCATTGTTTTAGTGCTGCTTGATAAAAATGCACCGCATTTTTATCGATCTTTCTGAACTGAGATGATGCCCTGAGCAAAACTCTTCTCTTTCCTTCCTCTTCCTGCACGCCTGTATTTTTTTTCCCGATTTATATCCTGCTTTTTTCCTTCAAAGGGCTCAAGGCAGCTTACATCATTCTCCTCCTCCATCTTATCTCCACAACAACAACCCTGTGAGGTAGGTTGGGCTGAGAGTCTGTGACTGGCCCAAGGTCACCCAGCTGGCTCCATGGCCGAGCGGGGACTGGAATCCGGATCGCCCGCGTCCCAGTCCCAGCTCTTCACCACGCCGCCGCGCTGGCTCTGTTTCTTCATGGGCTTGCACATAAACC